CAGAAAGTGATACATGAGGGCATTGTGACCAGGAAGATATTTCAGAGGATGTGGCATTTGAGTAGAAACATGATTTAAAAAAAAAATTGATTTATTTATTTGAGAGATAGCGTTATAGGTAGTGAGAGGGAGAGGCAGAGAGAAAGGTCTTCTGTCTGTTGGTTCACTCCTCAGATGGCCACAATGGCCGGAGGTGAGCTGATCCGAAGTCAGGAGCCAGGAGCTTCTTCCAGTCTCCCACATGGGTGCAGGTGCCCAAGGACTTGAGCCATCTTCTACTGCTTTCCCAGGCCATAGCAGAGAGCTGGATCAGAAGAGGAGCAGCCGGGACTAGAACTGGCATCCATATGAGATGCTGATGCTGCAGGTGGAGAATTAACCTACTGTGCCACCACACTAGCCCCGAAACATGAATTTTCAAGAGCAGTCATAAAAAATGGGGATGAAGAAATCAAGACAGAGGGTAGATACTAGGATGCTAATGTCACAAAACAAAACAAAACAAAACAAAACAAAACAAAAAACATAGCCATGTTAGTAGAGAGAACCAGGAATGAGAAGTATCAGACAGGGGAGGGAGGGGCCAGACCACGGTGGACTAGGATATGAGTCTTGGATTTCATGGTAAATGCACTTGAAGTTGATGTGGTGCGATTTATGTGGTTTAAAGATCGTGTTGACTACAATGTGGAGAATAACAAAGGTGGCAATCTTGAATAGCAAGGTGGCTTCTAGAAAAGCAAAAGTGACTCCAGAGAGATAAGTGGGGAGGCTATTTCAGGAGCCCAGGTAAGAGATAGGGTGCTGTGATCCAGAGTGGAAGTAGGATCAGAGAGATGGTGATACAGACAAGCGGACTTTGTGAAGGGTTTGGTGTTGGAGTATAGATAAAAGAAGAACCTAGGACCCTCTAGGTTTCTGGCTAGTCATAAACTAAATGTGCTGGGTACAGGCATTTCACTACAAATAGGGACAGTAGATATTCGTTGCATGGGAAATCCTGAGACCTAGTCTGGCCATCTGAAGTTCAAGATACATATTTGCAACCTAAGTAAAGGTGTCCAGCAGGCAGTGGAAGATGTGGGTCAGGGTCTTTATGTTGCGGCAAAGCCCAGAGATAGAGCTTTGGGAAGCTGGAGCAGGCAGATGATGCCTGAAGCTGAGGAACTGAATGACACCCTCTAAGGTGAACACTAGTCAGGGATGAGAAGAGGGCCAGGGTTATTCTAACCAATAGAGGCGAAACAGAAGAGCATCCGGAAAAGGGTGCTGAGAACAGATATGCAGAGCATGTCTGTGCATTACTTAAAGTAAGGGATCAAAGGCTTCCACATTATAGTTTCTTGGAAACACCTAACTAAGCATGCGTAGGGCAGAGTGGTGGGTTTGGGGGATATAAAAATTAAGATTCACCATCTACAAAAAAGAAGGATAGAAATGTAAAAGTTTACCATGTAGTTGAGTAGCTTGCTTTCATTTTCTTCTCCAGATCTGTGATACTGCAATGTGTTGCCTGGTGTCTCAGCAAAGACAATGCAGAGCTGGGACTTGAATCCAGGTACTCAGATATGGAATGTGTGGGTCTCAAGCCATAGTTTAGCATCTTGTTCAGCAATCCCATTGCACCAGGCTGACCAATACTCCTGCAAGCTGTGGAAGGAGGCAGTGCTCTGCACTCATTCTAGTAGGCGCTGGTCTAAGGGATGTCCGTGGTTGCCAAATTATTTCTAGCTCTCTCGTTTTTCTCACATAAAAGTTCAGGAAGTGATTTTCATGTAAAACAGTCATTAATTTTGCCTTTTAAAATGCACATCCTTTTTATTTTCCCAAGTTGAAAACTTATTCAACTAAACATGCCCAGGCCATATATGGTGTTCACAGGGTAGATGACAGAATTTCTCAAGTGCTTCTCTACAGGACTCTGGCTGGGCAAATAAATAGAGAGTAGCTGCTATTTACTACATGCTTGTTATGTGTCAGGAACATTTGAAGGTCGTTTATGTGTTTGGTTCCATTCACTGCCTTGGTGAGACAAACTGGATAGTGTTGCACATCTTGTATAGAAGTCACAATAGAGTCTATGGAAGGACTGACCAAGGAGATCATCTATACTTTGTAAATACGGATACTCCAGATATGAAAAATATGGGATCTGTGTGTGTATGTGTGTACACTCATGTGCTTTTTTTATGTTCAGATACTATATATTATATTATATTATATTATATTATATTATATATATGTATTATATATTATATATAATTATATAATCATATAGAATAAATTCTGGGAGAGCCAAACAAAAGCTATCCATGGCTTGGATGCTGTCTCAGCTCAGTAGGCAACTTCTGAAGTCTATGTCTGTTGGAGTTCCTAAGAATAGTCCTCAGCTTGGGAAGCTGGGCACCTGTCCATGAGGGCCTGGGTTGAGATGGAAGCTGGTGGTACAGTGTCAGATAAATTATGTTCCTTTGGACTTTAATAATGCACCCTTAAGATTTATTGCAACATTAGGGGCTCAGTCAATGATGTTAAAACTGAATGATGAGCTCAGCCTACTGTCAGGGACTTGGGGCCATGGCATCTTCCTACGTCAACCCTCGCTATACCACCTGACCCAGCTCAAGAACTAATCCAAAGTTAAGCAGTCCTAACTGGAAAATCCAAATCTAAAATGCTCAGATTTATGAAATATTTTGAGTGCCAACATGATGCCATAAATGGAAAATTCCACACCTGACATCATGGGACGGGTCACAGTCAAAATGCAGGAGGATTTTAAAGTTGTCCTCAGGCTGTGTGCATGAGATGTATATGAAACAAAAATGAATTTTGTGTTTAGACTTGAGTCCCATCCACAAGATGTCTCCTTACAGATATAAAAATATTCTAAAATCTAATATCCAAAGCACTCTGGTCTCAAGCATGTGGGATAATGTCAAAGTGTCCACCATCTTCCTTCTTCTTAACTCCCTAATGAAATAAATGCTTGATAAAATTGTAAACGGGGGTGGAAGGGATATTTTTGTTTTGAATGGAGTTAGCATTTTTTACCAATTTTTAACGTACATTCTTCTGAGCTCTAGGATGCCTGGACAGAGAAGAGCAGTACATATCCTTTTCCCACCCACCACCACTGAACAAGCCTCACTCGCAGTGTATTCATGCCATACACTGAGGCTCTGAGTAGTATTTCCTTTATAAAAGGGATTCTTGGCAGTGAAGAAATTTAATTATAACACTCAAGTTTGGAGCATTAATTATTTTTATCTCAATTTCTTGCAATCCATGGTTTTTTTCTACTTATGAATAAATCTTAGAAAAATAAAATAATAGAGCGAGTTGGAGTAGTGACATTCTGCTTCCAGGCATGGAACTATATGATCCAAGCTGCCTAGCTGGAATTCTGGGATGGTACACCACCCCTAAACCACGAACACGATGCACATACTGTTTTCCTGGCAGGATGATTCCATACCATCTGCTCAGGAGTGCCATGCCAACTGCATGTGGGCCTTGCCACAGAGCCGGTGGCACTGGGAGTGCGCCCGAGTCAGCACTCAGATCCCTCCCATGCCAAGCAGTCCCTGAGTCAGAGCACATGCTGATTACAAGAGATCACATTTGTTGATACTGTAGATGAGGAGCAATCAGCAAGCATCCAGATCATGTGCTCCATTTCCTGGTGCATCTCCCGTCTGGGAGAAGCAGACGGATTACGTAGACCTGGCTGAGGAGGAGACGCCTGGGACTTCCCTGTTTGATGATATCCTACTTTGAAAAAGGACAACTGGTTTCTTTTTCTTCCCTGCATGCAAGGCAAAAAAAAAAAACATTTCCTCCAGTCCCATGCTGAGCCTTCTTGCTTGGCAGTGAAATCTCAGTGTCATAAAGCTTAAGAGAAGTGAGTGGGTACCTGATTATTTCCTAGGCCTTTCTCTCTGTCTCTCCTGTTCTCATTCTCCCTTTTCTTTTGTTTCTATTGAGGCCATGCTATGGACATCTGAGAGCCAGTGGCCTCAGTCAAATTCATATTTTTTTTGACAGGTAGAGTTACACAGTGAGAGAGAGAGACAGAGAGAAAGGTCTTCCTTCCGTTGGTTCACCCCCCAAATGGCTGCTATGGCTGGCGTGCTGCGCCAATCAGAAGCCAGGAGCCAGGTGCTTCCTCCTGGTCTCCCATGCAGGGCCCAAGCACTTGGGTCATCCTCCACTGCCTTCCCGGGCCACAGCAGAGAGCTGGACTGGAAGAGGAGCAACCGGGACAGAACCGGCACCCCAACCAGGACTAGAACCTGGTGTGCCAGCGCCGCAGGCAGAGGATTAGCCTAGTGAGCCGCGGCGCCGGCCCACATTCATATTTTCTATGGAAGGAGGTGACTGCAGGCACAGAGACCTGTAGGTTGAAAGGTTGGCACTCTGAAGCTTGTGTATGTGTGCAGGCATCTGCCTGTGTGGCTGTATAAATATGAGCACAGAAGTCTACCTTCCCCCATTAACTATTCCAAGCAGACTGTACTCTAGTGCAAGTGTTCCTACCTTCTTATTTTTTAAATCAAGGCCCCTTTAATTATCTTCTTTGACTCCCCATGAATATCATTAATTGAAGAATACCCCACTGCCTTTATTAAGTGCGCTGTGTGGCTTCTTTGATGGCCAGTGCAGGGTTTCTTCGGCTTTTTGAAATGTGGGAATTAATTGTGGAGTTTCCATTGCTCCCTCTGGGAGTTCTGAAAACGGAGCATCCTGCTTTGCTGGCTGTTGCTATGAATGAGGGGGCATAGGATGGACAAAAAAAATCAAGGGACCCAGTGAGGCGCCACAGCGAGGTCCTCTTCAGAGACTTCGTTTCCTCACCCGTTAAGGGGAGGAAGCCAGGGATGCTTCTGGATTCATGATTTTGTCTTTCCTGAATCTGAGTTCAGGCATGGCTGGGGATAGCTACCTCTCTTCGGGCCCTTTCTAGCTCTCTGACATGTGTGTGTGTGCTCTATCCCCAGCTTCCCCATCCTATGTGTACAGAGCAGAAAAGCCCTGAAAATCCTACAGAAGATCCCAGAGGTATGTAGGAGGGAATCTAAGGCCAGAAATGAGATCTGCTTGGCAAGAAAATTCATTTTATCTAGAATGTGTAGGTGCAATAGGCTGTGCCAACATGGAGAGCCGAAGAGATGCACTCATGGCCAGAAACTCACGTGTCTATCTAGTAGAGCTGCTGAGGATTAACTGGCTTCTGAAAGGGGTACATCAAAGACAAACAAATCAGAGTGTGGGACTGTGTTGTGGGTCTGCAATGCCTGTTATCACTACTTAAGCATTTCTTCAAACATGGTGTTGAGTCCAAGAGTCTACTTGATTATTATTAAAGTAAAAGCATGTTACATTCCAAAGATATTTTGGAAACAATAGATTTTGATATTCCCTGGTGGCTTCCATCATTTCAACAAACTTGTATTTAGGGAGCAGGTGATGTCTGCAAGCCTAAACTACAAAACTAGTATTTAGTGGTGAGGCCAATAATTCCCCCACTTGTTTCCAAGATTGCACTGAGGAGAGAGATATCACCCAAGTATGTCTCATGCCAGAAGCTAGAGAAATGCCAAAACTGGAAAATGGAGTGACTTGTGTACAATATGCCTAAAGTATTGTTTTTCTTTTGTCTGAGGTAGAAATGCACAACTACTGAGTTTGCATATTTGTGGAGAAAATTGATTATAGATGGTAAACTCATGTGTACTTCAAGAACAGTGTTGGTTATATGGGTCATGGTCAATGTAACCTGATGTAAATCTAGTGGGAACATGCTTTCTAAAGAGAATACTACATTCCTTTTTTTATTTCTTTTTTTTTAATTTAGTAAATATAAATTTCCAAAGTACAGTTTATGGATTACAATGGCTCCCCCCCCCCATAATTTTCCTCCCACTCGCACCCCTCCCATCTCTCGTTCCCTCTCCCATTCCATTCACATCAAGATTCATTTTCAATTCTCTTTATATACAGAAGATCGATTTAGTATATATTAAGTAAAGATTTCAACAGTTTGCACCCACACAGAAACAGAAAGTGTAAAATACTGTTTGAGTACTAGTTATAGCATTACTCACATTGGACAACACATTAAGGACAGATGCCACATGAGAAGTAAGTACACAGTGACTCCTGTTGTTGACTTAACAATTTGACACTCTTGTTTATGGCGTAATCTCCCTAGGCTCTTGTCATGAGTTGCCAAGGCTATGGAGGCCTTTTGAGTTCGCTGACTTCGATCTTATTCCGACAGGGTCATAGTCAAAGTGGAAGTTCTCTCCTCCCTTCAGAGAAAGGTACCTCCTTCTTTGATGGCCCTGTTCTTTCCACTGGGATCTCACTTGCAGAGATCTTTCATTTAGGTTTTTTTTTTTTTTTTTTTTTTTTTTCCCCAGAGTGTCTTGGCTTTCCATGCCTAAAATACTCTCATGGGCTCTTCATCCAGATCTGAATGCCTTAAGGGCTGATTCTGAGGCCAGAGTTTTATTTAGGACATCTGCCATTCTATGAGTCTGCTGTGTATCCCACTTCCCATGTTGGATCGTTCTCTCCCTTTTTGATTCTATCAGTTAGTATTAGCAGACACTAGTCTTGTTTGTGTGATCCAAGAATACTACATTCCTAACCAGTTGGATACCACTTACAGGAATCAACAGTATGAATCTAAAGTCTCTTTTTAAAAACTCTAGTGATTCTTTGAATATCAGATTAAGAGAAGGTTAAATTGGATAGGAGTGAGCTGTAGTCCTTGCTAGGAGGGAATCAGTTTTGGCCTTAAGATATATTTTGTGTTCAGTTCATGTCTCCAGAAAGGAGTTACACAATTCAGACGATTGGAAATGGAATATGGAAGGCATCTTACTGCTCCGACAGGTGTACCTTGCATTCAAAGAAAGGGGGACATGATTAGAGACACATTCAAATCCTATCCAGAAAGGATGTGAGTGAGGTGGACTGAGTCTAGTGACCCTTGGCCCTTGATGGGATGAAGTCAGGTGGAAAGGGAGCCTGGGGCTTTGCTTTAGGACATGGTCCCCAGCCCAGATCACAGGCCCTCCTGCCATCTCAGGACAACAAGTGTCTAAGGTTAGAGGTTCAGAGCCTGGCTCAACCCCTGCTCATCCCTGTGTAATTTTAATGAGTTATTCCAACTCTCTCAATCTTCCTAAGGAAAGAGTTGATTAAAATAGCCTTCTTGAGATTTTAAGTAGAGTGATATGTATAAAATGCATAGTTGTACTTGAAAAGCAGTTGCTGTTATTATTATCAATTTATTTTACTTATCTTGAAACCAAATGAAAAGTCACTTGAGCACCTTATAAAAAAGATCCTGCATGAATATAGAGTATTCCTGGTGATAGAATTGTTTTTCTTTCTCAAATTAATTTTTTTCCAAAATGCTAAACAGAAGATACACAATCTCTAAAAGCCTAAAATCTTAACTTTTTTATTTTTGACATGCCTTGGGTCTATTTATTTTTTCTGTTTTATTTTTTAAATACATATAACCATCAGGGAAAATAATATAGGCTTTATAAGTCCACTTTGCTTGAGAATTATGATCTGAGGCAATTGGCCTTTTCCAAAAAAAATTTGCAAACTATATCTTTACTTTAAAAAAAAAAAAAACTTGGAACCTGATGTGGCAGAAGAATTTGATTCATATTAGCTCTGTCAGTCTAAATGTTAAAATATTTATTCTTTTCTTTGAGATAAATAGAAAAATTGAATTTAAACAACTAAGAAAAATAAACATACAACTTCTTGAAAAAGTACAAACAACTAGATGATTTTTAAAAATGTGATCAGTAATGCCTTTACTACTAACAAGACCTAAATGAAACTGTTTGTTTCTGATGTCATAGACGCACTGAGTGGGGACTGCCCTGTCTGGGGTGGATGAGGCTTAGCATTAGCAGGCATTGGGAACCCTGGATGGATTGATCCCAGCTGTCTACCCCAAGCCTGCCCACTCTTTGGCAAGGTGGTTGAGCCCATGTGCTATGGTACAAGTGGGAAAGCTTAGGGGGAAGTTTCCATTTGAACAGAGCCTTAAGGAATGGCTGAATGAAATTGATCTGTCCTTTTCAGGCAAAACCATTTTTTTTTCCTTCTTCTTTTCCCCAGCACTGATTTCCACACACTAGAAGCATGAGGTTGGGGGCCGGCGCTGTGGCATAATGGGTAAAGCTGCCACCTGTAGTGCCAGCATCCTATATGGGGGCTAGTTAGAGTCCCAGCTCCTCCACTTCAGACCTGGCTCTCTGCTGTGGCCTGGGAAAGCAGCAGAAGATGGCTCAGGGACCTGCACCTGCGTGGGAGACCCTGAAGAAGCTCCTGGCTCCAGATTGGCACAGCTCTGGCCGTTGCGGCCAATTGGGGAGTGCATCAGCGGATGGAAAACCTCTCTCTCTCTCTCTCTCTCTCTCTCTCTCTGCCTCTCCCTCTCTCTGTGTGTAACTCTGACTTTCAAGTAAAATAAATAAACTTTAAAAAAAAAAAAAAACATGAGGTTGGGAAACCAGGGAAAGATCAGGACACCAGGAATCACCTGCAAACCAACAAAAACTCACAGGAGATCAAGGGATCATAGGAAAATTCAGATTGGCTGATGAACAGCATTGAAGCAGAGCTGAGGGGGAAACTGAGAACCATAATGACCTTGTGAGATGACCTTGTCTTCCTCAGATTATCAGATGTGCAATTGAGTGACTATGCAGATAGGTCTGGAGTGAGACTTACATTCAAATCTCTTGGTCACCTGCCACCTGTGGTGCTGGGGTTCACATTTTGAAAATAAGCAAATAACAATTGGATTGTTGTGACGCCAGATGACATAATTATAATAATTACTGTTTTTTTAGTCTGCAATTGCCTCGTACATCACCATTGTGGATAGTTGTGTGCATTAATATTTACTTGGCGTCTAGTTTCTCAATTAACTTAGTTGAAATTACAGGTGACACAGGCCTATCTCTGACCTACCAAGTCTTATTAAACTCAGGCTATTTTTTCCGAGCCAGAGATATATTTTTAAGAATATTAGTAATCTCTAATGCTAGAGTTTAATAGGGTAATAATTTTAGGGAATATCTGCTTGGTTTACAGGAAACGGGCTTAAAAGAATGCATTTAAGGACATATTTCCTTTTTTTTTTTACTAGGCAGACCATTTTAAAAAAATTGCAAAAATGGATTTTTAAAAAGCCTTATTTAACAGAGAAAGAAAAGTAGAAAATTTTTAAAATCTTTAATTAGAGTTCTCAATATACACCTGCCTCTGCAATCTGCAGGGATGAATCTCAATGGAAACATCCAGAAAGGGAAAAATGGATATTGTGTCATAACTTAGGAACTAGAACTCGTGTGCCTGATTGCCAATCACAGACAGTTTACTAAATCTATTAACAACTATTTTCCTTCACTTAACAATGGCTCTTCTGTAACAAAATAAATTATCAGCAATTTCAACCATAAATTACAGTTCAACAAAACAGTGTTTTAAGCTTCATAAATGCATGCATAGTATTAAATTTCATATATGTTGATGACAGTGAGGACGTATTTCTTTTAAGTTTGATACAGCTTTTCAGCATCTGAACTTTTTTGTATTAAGATTTATCATATGCAAAAGCATTAGCAAATACAAAAGGGAACCATAGTGTAAGGATGTTTGTGATAAACTTTTTTTTTAAATCTCAGCTTGTAATAATTTCCTGTTGTCTTAAAACTCTTATGTTTGAGTTACAATAATACAACTGGAATTTTGATTCTTATTGCAAATAGTGATATCTCAAGTAGGAATCATCATACACAAAGAACACATTTGCAAAACTTAGGTGTATTCAGAGCAGCAAAAATTATAAAAATAATTAAAAATTCACTCTTTTGGTTGTTTTGAGTTATATTTTCCCCACCAATTCCACAAATTCTAAAGAACTAAAGGTTGTTTCTGGTCTCATGCAGGCACAATTAGCCAGAACATCCGCTTGCCTTAGATCTGTAGGTATCTGATCTAGAATCAGAATTTAA